AGTACAGTAAATGGTACCGTATTTTGTTCACCAAAGTTACTTAAAGGGAATGGAAAACTAGCCAAGCTAGCGAACTTGCTAACTCTGCTCATAACATTGTTAGCTTGGTGTTCTAAAGAAATCATAAGTAAAGCACTGAAATGATAAAGATAACTTTTATATTCCATTAAATGAGGTATCAAAAAAAGTGAATGGTGTTACTCATGTAGCTTTTTTGACTGTCTGTCCCCTAAAATGGTGGATAGTGTAACGACAGCTTCATGTTGGTCAACAGTACAACTGTGAGCAGCATGGACTTACTGAGTTTATCAACAAGGTTTCTACATAGGAAGAGAGTTTTCACTGGACGCCACCTGGACGAAGGGATGATAATGTTGCTGTGTTTATTGTTTAAAGTTTTTTGTTCTAGACTCTCAAGGTTCTTCAGATAAAACGGCAGTGGACTATTTGTCTGTGTTTTTGACCCTGAAGTTAATCAGACCTCATCAACACTTGGGGGGAAAAGAGTCATAGGAAAATCACAAGAGGGCTCAGAGCTAAAACATTGCATCACAAAGCGTGAGAATGCCTTGTTTAAAAGTTTAAATTGTATACGTGTACATTTTATGACGTTTCAAAGCAGGTGATGTTTTCTTTCTGAAGTTTGAAGTGGAAGTTAAATATTCTTGTTACTAGTCAGGAGTCAGCGATTAGCTCCAGGATTTTGCGTGGATTAATAACTGACTTTATGTCCTACTAACTACATTGTCATGCTTCATTTGAAACTTCACTGATAAAAATGAACAAAGGCCAAACTGTGTCCTGTCTGGATTAAGAAAAAACAAATGAGACAGTGAATCACAGAAAAATAGTTTATTTTTGACTTGGAGAGATTGATGTTTAACCTGCTGTTAAAAAATGACAGGGACTCATGTCAATGTAATCAAAAGCAGATTACAATAGTTTCTGCTTCTCTCACAAACAGCCGTCAAGTTGACTTGCTCCCTGATTAATACTTGATCGCTTTCACAAATGTGTCACAGATAATGTAATGCTATTAAAAAGACTTGTAACTGGAGGTTTGTGTCTCTTTTTAAATCTCAGTCAACACAATCTTGTCCAAGGTCCAGCTGTTTTATATCAAATAATATGAAGACCTAGCTAACAGTTTTGTGAGCTAGATATTCTCCAATTCACCTTTGGTTCACCTTCAACAATGGTGAATTGGAAAGTCAATTATAAGCCTTTTTGTCCAAATTCTGTATCTGATTAGAACTTTTTCAAGTCCAATTTCTGTGGCTGGTTCAGAGTTCTACTCACACCACACAGAAATTCAGAACAAAGCTGTACAGTTTTCTCCGACCACTTTTTCTGTCCGGCAGGATTTTCAGGGTTACAGGAAACACCATGTCAGATAAAGGTGTTGGCAGGGCTTGGAGCTTGGATATCTCTGAATTATTCTCTTTCTCTTTCTCTCTTCCTATTTTAGGAGGCTGGCCGAAGAAATAGGTAAATAATTTCTGATCTAACTTTGGTACAAAGTGCACACACACACCTCACAGACACAGTCATGCTCTAAAGATAGCCTGTTAGAAACCTGGTATGTTGTTCGACGAGTTCAGCCCTGGTGTAGTCCTAACTCACTTTGGACTTACATACTTTTTTTTTTCGGGACACTACAGCATTGACGAAGGAATATTAGAGAAGGGGGATGGCTGTGGATAAACACATGTTTTTGGTGGTCCTGATTACTCTGGGGACCTTTAACAGAGGAGGTGAGTAAGAGTTCAGTCTGTCTGATTTTTTTTCCATTCTAAACTTAGATCACAGTGGACACGACAGTTTCAGAAAAATAAAAAGAAACACAATGTGTCAAGACATATGATTAAATCTAGAGGATCAGGCAACATAAAATCACAAAACAACACATTTTCTAATTTTTCCCAATTACACTCAGATATTTTTAGTGTTATGTGCCGAAGTTTACAGATACTATCTGACTAAACATTGGCTGGCAACTTATTGTAATAGACTTTTATTCAGTTTGTTTCCTCAAATGTTTTGAAAACCAAATTAATTGAAAAATAAAGTTTAGTTCAAATGTAAAGTTTATATTTATCTGGACTGTAGTGTGTAAAAAAATCACAGCTAAGGCATAAACAAATAAATCTGTATGCGATGCAACAGTTCACATTTTGAACTTTAGAAGTGACAAAGTCCACAGTATGTTAGTTAATAAGAAATAGAAACACCTCTTGTCTTGTGACTTTTTATTTTTGTTTTTATTTACTTATTTATTGTTCTTTCTGTCTCTGAACCTTAGGGGGAGTGAGTTTTTTTTTTTTTCATTGTTTATGTTCTGTACTATGGATGTGTGTATGCTGTGTGTGTCTGTTCAAAAATGTGAAAACCAGAAAATAAAGTATAAAAAAATCCAAAAGAAAGAGAAACACGACTCTAACTAAAAATCTAAATACACAGCTGGCAAACACTGTAATGACAGTTATTTCAAGTATGTGAGGCTGGTTTCTTGAAGAACTGGCTTGATGACATTCCCAGGCAGAGCACTCATGGTGATGCTGTTTGACCAGGAAGTCAACACTGATTTTCCGTCATATTGTCTCACATGTTCTGCATCTCTATTCTTCAAATAGTGACTGTTTTTGTCTTATATTTTCAAAATTTCAAACCAGGTTTATCCCATAATTAACCCTTGATATATGTTTCTTTTTCTGATGTTTTACAGATACTGAAGTGTGTATTTTAAAGGAGAGTTGCATCTTACCCTGCAGTTTTAAACAAGGTGATAAAGTACTGGTCCACTGGAACCAGATAAAGGGAAACACTCTTGTCCACTCCTACTTTTATAATAAGGACCAGTTGGGACGTCAGGACCAGAGCTTCAAAGGCAGGACATCGCTGTTTCAAGACCAGATCTCCAAAGGAAACGCCTCACTCAGGCTGACAGGGGTGAAGCTTGAAGACCAGGGCAGATACAAGTGCTACACCAGCACCACCAACGCAACAAGGAGTCATTTGTTGACCTAAACTTGGAAGGTATGACATCCATGGTTGATGCAGAAACATCAAACAACAGCAAGAATTGCCTTGTATACAGATCAACCACAACATTATGACCACATGTGCAATCTAGTGCAATCAAAATCAGGTCTACCATAAGTTCTTCTTTAAAAAGCTTCTACATTGGTTGACATGGTCAGACCGGTGAACATTTTACTTTCTATTTATAATTGAGGTCATACTAGGTGGTGTAATGGAGTGCATTATATTTAAATATGTTCCTAAAATTTGGTCCCCACTTGAATGTTAATTGGGTGGTGAAAATATTTGAAAATATTTAATTTAACTCAGCACCACTACCTGCTATGACTTCAGTATTATAAACAAAGTACAATTATCACCTTTCTGACCATGTCAGCAAAAACTGAAAATGTAGAAGCTTCTTAAAAGTAGAAATTATGGTTGAACTGTTTTATTGGATTGCAATAGATCATTATCTTTTGACTGATTGGTGTATATTTACATTGCAATAACTACTGTAGTCAACCTAAATGATCATTTAAACTTCATTCTGGCTGTACATGTCTTGCACACACACCTTTGCCTTCATTTAGTAGGACTGGATGTTTAAATTAATGATGCACCAGAATGGTTTCAAATTTGATGTTTTCTAACAATTTGATGTTTTCTCTCTGTGACAATAAATCATAACTTTAATATTTAGCATGAACCTTAGCTTTACATTCAAAAAGCTGATATGTTGCTAGATATAGTAAACATTGGTACTTATGGCTAGCTCTGAAAAGGAAAACTTCCAAGTTTAAGATAACCATCACCTGGCCTGTTACACAGTGAAGTTGAGTAGACTAGTTTGTTAATCTGTTTTGACATTTTTCTACGAACCTGTTTGTTTTTTTGGAGCGGCAACATAAGTAACAAAGAGACTAACAGGACCGCTATAAAGAAAGTATTTTACATCATAAATGTATTGAGTTCTATCACAGAGTAAATGCTAAATACACAACATGGATTTAGTGAAACCTTATTTTCTCCATGCCACAATCTGTAGAGCTCTGTAAGATAAAACAAACATAAATAGTGAATAACCTTCTACTCCCAGCTACAGGAAACTGATACCATTTTAATGGAAGGCTGTGTTGAAGATCATCTGGGTGATAAGGACGCTTGTCCAGTAAATGTGGTCTCTGAGCTTGTGGGAAATTAACAGTGATAGTTAGAAAAGAACTGAAAATAATCAACAGCTTTCAGTGAGGAAATAGTTTTTTTAATATCTGTGTTTCCTCACTTGTTGAATACTGTAAAACTACAATTCAAACTAAAAAAAAAGAATTGACAAAATTGACTGTGCATGGAAGAACAAGCATTTGCACAAACAAAGCTTAAATCTTTTGTTATTTATATTTGTATAATGGAATGTAATATTATGGAAATACTGCCGGATGGAAGGCAGTAAAAAGTATGATTAGCACATGATTGTTTTATTTGGCATGATGGGAGAACAAAGTCCTGTTGTAAATGTTGCTACTTTCATTCAGTTATAAATGAATGTTCTCTTTCCCTTGACATTATATTAACTCTTAACTTATATTAACTTAGTTTTTTGGTAAAGACAGAACAAGAAAATTGACAGATTGCTTTTGTCTAAGACATAAAAATTCAAACTTTCAATAGTTTTCAAAAATGGAATAAAAAATGAGTAGCAAAAGAACAGAATCTTAATCAATTCAATGTAAGTCTAAAAAGCTCCCAAAGAGACCTGAATGAGTCATCACCAGGTCTCCCACATCACAATTTTAAATACATGTTCCAAAATGTTTATTTTTTTCACAGCTCCACCCAGTAAAGTTGGAATTCAGCAGGTAGGAAACAGAATCACCTGCAGCTCAGAGGAGATCTACCCTCAGCCTGAGCTCACCTGGTCCTCCAGTCCTCCAACCAATCTGAATGTAGCAACACATAGTCCATCAGAAAGAGAGCTCTACAGCATCAGTAGCTCTCTGATAGTTCAAGTCGGTGTGATTGATCTGGACTACAGCTGCACCATCAGCGCTGGCAGAAACAAGAGGAGAGCAACTTTGTTTAAACCAGGTACGTGTTTCAAAGAAAACTTCTGGTCACTGCATGGGGTCCTTCAGGCTGCCTTAAACAGCTGATATGAAAAGTTCACATTGACATCAACAAAATCCTTACAAATAAACTTTGTCATTGTGTGTAATTCTTGTGTTTTGTCTTTCAGCTTCCATCAATATTTCAGACACTAAAAGCACAATCCCCTGCACTTCTTCAAACACTCACTTTAAAAGCCTCATTTGGACATTCAACCACAATCAAAACATCCTGATCCAGACCTCCGCCGAAGTCCCCTTTAAAGTTTCAGAGGAGTGGAGGAAGCACGTGAAGGATGTGTCTGAGTCAGGAAGCCTCGTGTTACAAGACTTAACATCACTTCAGGAGGGAATATACACATGTGAACTTAGTACTGCTGAAGAGACTCATGAAAGGAGCACAGCGTTGAGGATAGAAGAAAGTCAAAGTAAGTAGCACCTCTACAAAAGAACAGTTCATCTGAATATCTGGTTACTTGGTTATATTACAGCTCCTGCAGTCCACACATTCAAGTGTCCTTAAAGAAGACACTGAATCTCAAAATGCCCCTGATGGCATAGCTTTGAGCGAGAGAAAGATGAATGAACTGAATCTTTTTTCTTTTTCAGGCACTCCTACTGTTGCAGGAATTACAGTTGGGGTTATATTCCTTTTGGTTGTATTAGCCATTTGCATCTTCGTCATATATAAGTGGTGTAAAAAGGTAAATAACACTACTACAACTAGAACTCAGAAAAGTGAAGGTGGTGAAAACAACAGAGAACCAGAAGCTGAAATCCCATTAAAGTAAGTTAACTTTATGGTTTAAAAAACAAGATAAGTCAATGAAGTGAGGATATAAGCAAGAACAAATCCCTGAAAATAAATGTTGTCATGCTTTGATAGTTAATGTTTTCTACAGAAGTCATTTATGATGAAAAAGAATACATGCTGGTTGTTTGAGCTCGATGTTCTTCAGAACTTGATTCTGTTCAATTTTGTTTGCAGGTAAAATGGTGAACGAAAAACTAATACATTTCTAGACCGTGGAACAACAACAGTCAGCCATGATGAAGAACAAGACCACAGTTGATGAATGTACGCAAATATTTATTAGAGTAAGTGGTATCAAATGAACAGTTGCTAAAAGGATCCCAACGAAGGATTTAACATCGGGATGTATGAATGTGCTGGGATTAGATGAACAAAAAGTTCCCACATGAGTAGGTACATGTCTAACAGCAAATATGTCAAGTGTTGCTGTTGGTCTGGGACAGACACTTGGTTTTAAAGATCTCTGCTGGATTAAAGTTGGTTGCAAGATGCAACTGGTTTCTTGGTTTCATTTCTACATTTCCCTGATGCCCAGCCACCACCATCGGACTGTGTTGTCCCTCAACCACCGCCGTCCTCATTCATGCACGGCCTGCTCCGACCTCCACCTCAGCAGCAAGGAAGTGTGGACAACAGGAACGTGAGGAATACAAAGAAGAAATCCTTCCTGCATCTTATCCCATAAACTCTTTTGTGAAAATAGCACTTGCTGATTGAGCTTTTCAGTCTCACTCAGTGCACAATACTGATTAAACAACAACGTGAAAGCTAAATCTGGTTTGAATTGTTGCATGAAAGTGAGCAGGAAGATATGTTTGATGATGGAGAATAGTTTTCATGCAATTACTTGAAGGGATGACAAAGAGACAAATGTTTTTATGAAAAACTGTGTTCATGAGTTTTATTTTGTGAAAGCATATTTATTTAAATCTGTGTTGGTAGTCATTTTTTTATGTTTGATAAAGATGATGAAGTGATTTTTTTTAACAAGGGGTTTGAAAACATTGTGTATTTGTGAAACGTGCAGAGCCAGCGTAAAAATAAATAAAGTAGAAGTGCACCTTAACCTGTGCAGGAAGGTTCAAATCTACTCCTTCTACATATATTTATTTGATAAAATAAAATGTTTAAAACTATAGAATTAAGCTCGTATTTGTTCATTCCATAACCTGGTATCAACCCTTTTCAGTAAAGACATGGTTGTTTCTAATATATCCACCTGTTTCACTTTCATATACATATCCTTAAGGTGGAGCTGCCTCCTGAGTCCTGAACTTGAAATTCCTACTTGGATTTACGGGAAAGGTATTTTTAGCACAAGGGACTGGTCTATAAACAGAAAATGCCTTTCTGTCAGTCTTTGGACGGGATTATCAAAAACCTGTTGGATAGTCATGAACTGAACCCAAAGGTGACACCTGCTGGAGAAATTTGTGTCTTACACTTCACAACTCCTAAACATGGCTCTGTAGTCTATATAAGACAGAGGGATAATGGACATTCATATCTGGCCAGGAATCAGGTTTTCCGTATTTCATTAATGTTTTTTTATTTTTACTTTAGCTTTGGTTGACTGTAAAAAGATCACTCTGTGTTTGTCGAAACTGTTTGTAGTCAGTCACACGTCAGCGGCATGTATTCGCAGTGAGGTCACTCCATTGGCACAGGATTGGCTGAGGAGCTATAGGCCTACTACTTGGAGAACATTGCCAAGACAGAATTACTGAAAACCAGAGCCCCCATTTTCAGCTTAATTAAAGAAGTCTACTACTTCCTATTGGTTCCTGTCAACAGTAGGTGCTTTGTTTGTAAATGCTGGATTAATCCTGTCCGACAGTAAATAAATACAGCTATGCAGTACTAACCCTTTGGTAATAACCATAGACTGTAAATATTGGTAATAACACAACATTTAAATATTTATTTTCATGTTCTATTTTTGAGGCAGTGTGCTTTTTTTTGTTTGTAAAAAGAACTTCAAATTTTTTTTCCTTTTAAAAAAAATTAAAAATATATTTTACCTCCTGTAAAGCAGTGACGATGTTCAGGTATCATGAACCAGGAGAAACAAACAAGCCAGCTGTCAGGGCAGATAGGCTGAAGTCATCATCATTAGAGTCCACTTCCTGAAATGTAATATGTATTTTGTCAAAACAAATGTAGAGCTAGACAGCAACACTGTTTATAGTATTGTCTGGCAGTGGTCACATACATTTCTGCTATAAACTTAATCTACAGTACGAATAGGCTATGTGTAACTGCAGATTAATTTAAGATCTTGCTTACTGCCTGAGCATAAAAAACACTGTTTCAGTCAAAGTGAACGGTATGATCTCAAAGTCTGAAATTGGAATCTGTCAAAAATAATTACTCAAGACAACGCTAATAAATTGTGCTGACAGTTTTATCACATCAGATTTACCTACATTTCTAATGTTACTCGCCAAAGTTAACCTACACCTGGTCCAACTGGTTTGCTCCCAGCAGATAAACACATCCCAGACCAGCATATACATTAAAAATAACATTTTCTTTGTTCATTACGGTCTGCTTCCTTTAATTATAATCACACCATTGTTTTTCCATTCCAAAAGCTCCTATCTAAGCTTTAAGTTAAGTGACTCATTGATATTTTAAAACACTTTCTTGCGTACCTCTTCAGACGACTTTAGGCCAAGTTTGACCAACATCAATGGTTGAGCTGAATTCCTGTGTGCTAGCAATAGCCTTAACCTTTGAACAGGTTCAGCACAAGAAAACTCTTCATAATTTAAGGTGAAACGTTGAAACCTAACCACAAACTTGGTAGGCATAATAACATACTTACTACTTTCACCAGGCTCCAATTGACTTCAAATCACTATTAATGGGGTCAGCCCCTATGGTCCCACAGCCCAATGTTCCTACATTTCTAAGAATTTGTTTTTCACTGAAAATAAGGCCCTATGTTCCCACATTTCTACAATTTTTCTCAAAATTAGGCCCTGTGTTCCCACAGCCCTATGTTCCCACATTTCTAAGAATTTTTTTTTCACTGAAAATTAGGCCCTATGTTCCCACAGTTCCCATATTTCTAAGATTTTTCTCAAAATTAAACCCTTTGTTCCCAAATTTCTAGGACATTTTCAAAATTAGGTCTTGTGTTCCTACATTTCCCTTCAATTTAAGCCAGCGCAGTAGACTTGATGACACTGACAGGTTGACACAGAGGAGTTTTCAAATAGGCATCCTCCTTCCTTAACGTTTCCTCCATGAGCCTATGACGCCTCCAGAGGGCTGGTAAGTGACTCCAAGCATCCCAGGAGCACCCCCTCTCCCCCTCCGACTTTCCAGAGGTATTGATGCACTGCAAACTATGGTTTGCGTCCAGTTGCTGCGCTTCATTCGACTGATCTGAGCGGAAGCTGTCAATACGAGGCCTCTGTGCTACTTAGTTCAGTTTGTTTATTTAAAAGGACAATGTGCACTTACATTAAATGTTTGCAATAAACAAAGAGATGGGCACACCAGATTTATCTAAAAGCTACTGTGTTCTTCACCGGAATCATCACCTGTGAGGTTTAAAGTAGCTTTTAACACAGACTCAGAATACAGAATAGGCTTTTGCTGTTGGATGGATATTCTCCCACTGGGAGGAGCAAGTGAACAGCCAGGTCAGGAGAATATCTGCTTGATACCACCCAAAGTCGCACTAAGGGGATAAGTATTCCAAACATTTCCTGTTTCCGGGCATTGTGTGATCCTTTCCTCCCTGAGAGTAGGCTAATTTACAAATCTAAGGCAAGTCAGCTCATGTGGGAGTCTCTCTTTCTGCTGCAATGACCTCTCTCCCGTAGGCTACACATAGACTGTAAATATTAGCGGTGCGGAAAGAAGAGTACGACGTATCAAAGAAGATGAGTGGGATAAAACGTGTCACGTTTTTTTATGTTCTTTTTTATCTAAAAGGATTTGCAAAAGGAGGTGAGTGAGGCTTTGTTATTTCAGTGTAAACATAAACCAGAGATTGAACTTTGTATACAGGAACGTTTGAATTAAGTTCTGTTGGTTTTCATGCAACGTTTGGCTGAACAGAGCTATGCCAAAGTTTATGAAGACTGGCCTAATTCATTCCTAGCAGTTTTAAGCAAGAGTATGAAACATTAGCTAAAACAAGATGGACTCTAATCTTTTCTGTGAAGTTCAACTTTAACACAAATCTGTGATATATTTGAACTAATATGAGCAACAAAGCTGTCTTCTTCTGGGGGGAAATGTCAAGTGACTGCCACCTTTATTAAAAATCTGGAGCTGCTAACATAAGGTTGTTGGCTCTGTGCGGTGATTCAACACATTATGGAGAAGAAAGTGTATGACAGCAGAACAAATCCTGGATTCCAAAAACGTTGTTATTAGGACTCAGATACAAAGGAAGAAAAGTGTGTCACAAGTGGCCTGAAACCATACAAAACACATCTGGTGACATTCTAGCACTCACTCACAAACACAAATGCACCCACAGTACCACACAAAAAGATGACATCAATCCAAAGTTTACAATTACTTTGTTACGTTTAGAGAAAAATGCATGCCATCTTGTCAGATTGGTGTGAGTCAATGAAACAGGGTGTAACCAGAGAAAAACACTTCTGGCCGAGCCTGCTTTAAACATAAACATTTTAGTTTGGAATTATTTGTAACCATGTTTCTCTTTTTGATAAAAAATATTGTTTAAATTCTCATTGGTCGTCTTTTCTAAAGAAAACTACAAAACCCTCTATTAAACTTAAAGTAAGGGTGGGTTGACCAGTTAGAAAAAAAACAGGTCAGGCCACTATTTAAGAATTTACAGTATATTGCAACACAGATGTATTAACATTTACTTCAGCATTACCATTTTTAAATGCTTCCAGCAGCTTCCGGAGTTGAATGGCAGGCAGTATGTCGACAATATCTTCCTTTGTAACGTATTTCAGGTCTTCAGTGGATTCTAATGCACAGCTTTTTATCTTGTCTATTAATTCCTGTTGGATGTCTTTAAAAATGGTTGGCAAAGCTCTGAGGATGATAACCCTCAGCTCTTCATCCACTGCACTCATTGCACTACAATGAGGGGAAAGAATGGTGAAGAACGATTAGTGCCATGTCACAAATTGTGTACTCAGGGAGAGGGTAATAATCTAGTAGGTCGCCCTGATTAACACAGTAGTAACAGCTCCTGATTGGTGTGAGGGAATAAACCCCTACATCATGCAGACACAAAGCCTTATGCTTTTCAGTGATGAAATAGATTGCTGAATTATTGTGGATCAGTATCATGATAATCTTACCAACATCAAGTCCATCCTCACCCTTGCCTATAACAACAGACATGTTTTTTTTTTGTATTTTGTTCCTTTTACAGCTGCTTCATGAGCAATCAGAGTATTTGTGGATTGAAAATCATAACTTCTAACCGAATCCTTGATGCCATCATTGTAGTCCTCTTCAAAAAACTCAGTTGCTTTTTCTACAACGATTGTAGGTGGGAAGAGATTGCCAGTACTAAGAAAGGCTTGCAGAAGCTGATGTCTTTCTGCAAGACTTGAGTACACATTTCTGAAGTTATGCAGTTTTCTTGCACAGTTTGAAGTATGTGTGCTTACTTTCGAACCTCAAAGTCCACAAACGAATAAGTGGCCCAAACTGAATGATGAGCTCTGGATAATGGCTCATGTAATGATGCTTAGGTTTTAGTCGATCATGGGGAAAGGCTTGTTTTCGGGAATGCAAATATTCATCGATAAGGACTCTTAGATACCCTATCTGGCCAGTGGAAATGGCGGGTGCGCAAATAAACGCCACGATTTCTCTTAGCTGTAAAACTAGTTGCCATATCTCATTTTCAGAGGGAGAGGTAATCTTCTCTCCAATCAATAGAGGCAATAGTCTCAGTAAACACCAGTTCTGTACAGCATGGCCACTCAGTCTATCTCTCCCTGGGGTTACCTCACAGGGTTTGTCTTTTGCATCGTTACCGAGATATTTGAACTGATTGATTCTGCGATTCAATTCAAGGTAAGTAAACTGTTTGTCAACAGTGACAAGATGGCGGATATACATAGCAAGATCAGAGGCAACAACACCTTCAAACAAATCAATCAAACCAAGACAAGGAGGAAGCCCAGGCTGGCATACATGAAAGCAAGACAGGTCGTTGAACAATGAGTCAAATTTGATACCTCCACTATGAACTGTATCTTCACCAAGGTTCTGAACATGCTCTTTGTATGACTCTGGTGTGCGAGTGTTGCCTCTGGAGAGAGGATCTGCCTGAAAAGTATCTCTTTCAATTTCACAGTAGCGGCAGAAGTACTTGCCACTGAAATTTTCCAGAAAGCCTCCAATGTTGTGTGAGCTCAGGTTGTCTCCAGCAATGGCTTGCAAGATTCCTTTGCATTTCTGTCCATTAGGTAAGACAACCCCATTGGTTTAAAGGTCTTTAAGGTCTTTCATCAAGCATCCCATGACCAAATCCTGACCAAAATACTTACAAATATTTTCTCTACAGAGAAGAACAAGTTGCATCTGGTCGATACTTGACCGGTTGTGTGGCAAAAGGTCTGCAAGCGTGAGATACATGGCCAGTATTTTATGTTTCTTTTTTCCTGACCCCAGTGGGTTTACAACTTCGAATGAATCTTGATAAAGTATCAAGCCTAAAGATGACCTCTCTGTCTCTGTCATGTTATTTCTGATGTTTTCACCATCCCACACATCTTGTAAAATATCATCTGACTGGACACGGAGTTTACTTCTTCACTCTGTTCAGGTTGAATGTCCCTGACTCCTGAAGAAATGATCACTTGCACACTCTTGCCTGTCTGCCTCTGTCTCTCAAGGCCTCAGTGAATGATAATTATGTTTATGTCCGTTAATAATCGATATTAATCTATAATATTTCCTGCAAAGTGCAGGCTACTTCTCAAATCAGGGCAAACTTTTTAATAAAGTTCATATGCTGAGCTTTTATCATTCAAGTGTCCCCCGTAACCAAATAATATTAATTAACACATAGACTGGATATTAATTAAATATGTTACAGGCTGCGCTCCCCCAGCCTGCATGGGAGAGAGAGAGACACACACACACACACAGAACGGCCTTTTTGGAGGTTGCCGCCTTCCTGCATCTTTTTATTAATATGTCTCAACTCATTGCAGACCCATATAACAACCCCTACCAACGCTTGAAATTACAAGAAAATGTTGTGTGGGGTTTCTCATTTAGCAATTGTTAAGATCAAGCTGATGTTAGCTGGCAAAGAATTTACTCACTGTGTGCCTGCAGTGTTTGTGTGTCATTTCAAACTCTAGCTAATACTAATCTTACAAATGACTTCAAACTTACTAAGTGATGGTTTTTGCCTATTATAACTAACAAAGCAGTAAGGTACTCACCTGTTTATTGTCAGGATGGTGATGGGTAACAATCTGACTTCCAACTCCACTGTCCTTCCAAGCATGTGGTGGTCTCACCATCTTGTTCCCAAAATGCAATGCAAAAAATATGAGAAATTACTGTTTTCTTTCCTTCACGCAATAATACAGTAAAATATTGTTATAAACCGTTATAAAACAGGGTTGTCCTGTATTTAAACATAACACGATTTTACCGTTGAAAATTGCTTGTAAATTTACAGCAATTCGTAGAGCGGGGAATCTTGGCTTTCACCTAAAATTCTCGGTCTAAGTATATCACAGTCACTCAATTTCTATATCAAATTAAAGATTAATTTCTTCACAAATGTATAATCTTCAGATTTGTTGCCCCATCACGGGGTATGTTGTCACACTATGCGGGGTAAATTGTCACATTATATTTTTCAACAAATAATAACATGTATCACTCTTATTCTTGCATTTGAAAGTCAGATTTATTGAAACAGCTGTTTTCAATGCCAGGGCTTCATCAGTGTCAGTGCATAAAAAACAATGCAGACCAAAAAACCGAAAAAACTACAAATAGCCTAAACACAAACAAATTCATCTTGAACTATATCTTTTTTTTAAACTATTTTTTAAATTCTAATTCAACACGTTTAAATACATTTTCAGTGACGTAACAGTGTCTTATATTTTCAAAATTTCAAACCAGGTTTATCCCATAACTAACCCTTGATATATGTTTCTTTTTCTGATGTTTTACAGATACTGAAGTGTGTATTTTAAAGGAGAGTTGCATCTTACCCTGCAGTTTTAAACAAGGTGATAAAGTACTGGTCCACTGGAACCAGATAAAGGGAAACACTCTTGTCCACTCCTACTTCTATGATAGGGACCAGTTGGAACGTCAAGACGAGAGCTTCAAAGGCAGGACATCGCTGTTTCAAGACCAGATCTCCAAAGGAAACGTCTCACTCAGGCTGACAGGGGTGAAGCTTGAAGACCAGGGCAGATACAAGTGCTACACCAGCACCACCAACGGCAACAAGGAGTCATTTGTTGACCTAAACTTGGAAGGTATGACATCCATGGTGAATGCAGAAACATCAAACAACAGCAAGAATTGCCTTGTATTCAGATCAACCACAACATTATGACCACATGTGCAATCTAGTGCAATCAAAATCAGGTCTACCATAAGTTCTTCTTTAAAAAGCTTCTACATTGGTTGACATGGTCAGACAGGTGAACATTTTACTTTTTATTTATAATTGAGGTCATACTAGGTGGTGTAATGGAGTGCATTATATTTAAATATGTTCCTAAAATTTGGTCCCCACTTGAATGTTAATGGGTGGTCAAAATATTTGAAAATATTCAATTTAACTCAGCACCACTACCTGCTATGACTTCAGTATTATAAACAAAGTACAATTATCACCTTTCTGACCATGTCAGCAAAAACTGAAAATGTAGAAGCTTCTTAAAAGTAGAAATTATGGTTGAACTGTTTTATTGAATTGCAATAGATCATTATCTTTTGACTGATTGGTGTATATTTACATTGCAATAACTACTGTAGTCAACCTAAATGATCATTTAAACTTCATTCTGGCTGTACATGTCCTGCACACACACCTTTGCCTTCATTTAGTAGGACTGGATGTTTAAATCTAATGATGCACCAGAATGGTTTCAAATTTGATGTTTTCTAACAATTAGATTTTTTCTCTCTGTAACAATAGATCATAACTTTAATATTTAGCATGAACCTTAGCTTGACATTCAAAAAGCTGATATTGTGTTGCTAGATACAGTAAACTTGGTACTTATCGCTAGCTCTGACAAGCTAAAGGAAAACTTCCAAGTTTAAGATAACCATCACCTGGCCTGTTACACAGTGAAGTTGAGTAGACTAGTTTGTTTATCTGTTTTGACATTTTGTTACAAACCTGTTTGTTTTTTTTTGGAGCGGCAACATAAGTAGCAAAGAGACTAACAGGACCGCTATAAAGAAAGTATTTTACATCATAAATGTATTGAGTTCTATCACAGAGTAAATGCTAAATACACAACATGGATTTAGTGAAACCTTATTTTCTCCATGCCACAATCTGTAGAGCTCTGTAAGATAAAACAAACATTAGTGAATAACCTTCCACACCCAGCTACAGGAAACTGATACCATTTTAATGGAAGGCTGTGTTGAAGGTCATCTGGGTGATAAGGACGCTTGTCCAGTAAATGTGGTCTCTGAGCTTGTGGGAAAATAACAGTGATAGTTAGAAAAGAACTGAAAATAATCAACAGCTTTCAGTGATGAAATAGTTTTTTTAATATCTGTGTTTCCTCACTTGTTGAATACTGTAAAACTACAATTCAAACTAAAAAAAAGAATTGACTGTGCATGGAAGAACAAGCATTTGCACAAATAAAGCTTAACTCTTTTGTTATTTATATTTGTATAATGGAATGTAATATTATGGAAATACTGCCGGATGGAAGGCAGTAAAAAGTATGATTAGCACATGATTGTTTTATTTGGCATGATGGGAGAACAAAGTCCTGTTGTAAATGTTGCTACTTTCATTCAGTTATAAATTAATGTTCTCTTTCCCTTGACATTATATTAACTCTTAACTTATATTAACTTAGTTTTCTGGTAAAGACAGAACAAGAAAATTGACAGATTGCTTTTGTCTAGGACATAAAAATTCAAATGTTCAGTGGTTTTCAAAAGTGGAATGAAAAATGAGTAGCAAAAGAACAGAATCTTAATCAATTCAATGTAAGTCTAAAAAGCTCCCAAAGAGACCTGAATGAGTCAGCACCAGGTCTCCCACATCACAATTTTAAATACATGTTCCAAAATGTTTAACTTTTTCACAGCTCCACCCAGTAAAGTTGGAATTCAGCAGGTAGGAAACAGAATCACCTGCAGCTCAGAGGAGATCTACCCTCAGCCTGAGCTCACCTGGTCCTCCAGTCCTCCAACCAATCTGACTGTAGCAGACACACCAACTGTCCATCAGAAAGAGAAGCTCTACAGCATCAATAGCTCTCTGATAGTTCAAGTCGGTGTGATTGATCTGGACTACAGCTGCACCATCAGCGCTGGCAGAAACAACAGGACAGCAACTTTGTTTAAACCAGGTACGTGTTTCAAAGAAAACTTCTGGTCACTGCATGGGGTCCTTCAGGCTGCCTTAAACAGCTGATATGAAAAGTTCACATTGACATCAACAAAATCCTTACAAATAAACTTTGTCATTGTGTGTAATTCTTGTGTTTTGTCTTTCAGCTTCCATCAATATTTCAGACACTAAAAGCACAATCCCCTGCACTTCTTCAAACACTCACTTTAAAAGCCTCATTTGGACATTCAACCACAATCAAAACATCCTGATCCAGACCTCCGCCGAAGTCCCCTTTAACATTTCAGAGGAGTGGAGGAAGCACGTGAAGGATGTGTCTGAGTCAGGAAGCCTCGTGTTACAAGACTTAACATCACTTCAGGAGGGAATATACACATGTGAACATAGTACTGCTGAAGAGACTTGCGTATGGAGCACAGTGTTGAGGATAAAGGAAAGTCAAAGTAAGTAGCACCTCTACAAAAGAACAATTCATCTGAATATCTGGTTACTTGGTTATATTACAGCTCCTGCAGTCCACACATTCAAGTGTCCTTAAAGAAGACACTGAATCTCAAAATGCCCCTGATGGCATAGCTTTGAGCGAGAGAAAGATGAATGAACTGAATCTTTTTTCTTTTTCAGGCACTCCTGATGTTGCAGGAATTACAGTTGGGGTTATATTCCTTTTGGTTGTATTAGCCATTTGCATCTTCTTCATATATAAGAGGTTTAAAAAGGTAAATAACACTACTACAACTACCTCTTCTACTAAAAATTAAGTACCTGTTGTTTGTACTAATGCTGATGTCTTGTGAACTCAGAAAAGAAAAGGTGATGAATACAACAGATAACTACCAGCAACTGGAAACCTATTAATGTAAGTGGAAGTGAAGCATAATGAATGGTATAAAAAATAAGATAAGTCAATGAAGTGACAATATAAACAAGAACAAATCCCTGAAAATAAATGTTGTCATGCTTTGATAGTTAATGTTTTCTACAGAAGTCATTTATGATGAAAGGAATACATGCTGGTTGTTTGAGCTCGATGTTCTTCAGAACTTGATTCTGTTCAATTTTGTTTGCAGGGAAAATGGTGAACTAAACGAAACTCTAAAAACTAATACATTTCTAGACCGTGGAACAACAACAGTTAGCCATGATGAAGAACAAGACCACAGTTGATGAATGTACGCAAATATTTATTAGAGTAAGTGGTATCAAATGAACAGTTGCTAAAAGGATCCCGAACGAAGGATTTAACATCGGGATGTATGAATGTGCTGGGATTAGATGAACAAAAAGTTCCCACATGAGTAGGTACATGTCTAACAGCAAATATGTCAAGTGTTGCTGTTGGTCTGGGGACAGACACTTGGTTTTAAAGGTCTCTGCTGGATTAAAGTTGGTTGCAAGATGCAACTGGTTTCTTGGTTTCATTTCTACATTTCCCTGATGCCCAGCCACCACCATCGGACTGTGTTGTCCCTCAACCACCGCCGTCCTCATTCATGCACGGCCTGCTCCGACCTCCACCTCAGCAGCAAGAAGGTGTGGTCAACAGGAATGTGAGGAATATAAAGAAGAAATCCTTCCTGCATCTTATCCCATAAACTCTTTTATGAAGTGCCTCGAGATAACACTTGCTATGAATTAGCACTATACAAATAATGATTGATTGATGACTGATTTATAGAGAGCAATTGCACCACAGGAGTGGAAAAAAAACAGCATTGCTAGAGCTTTTCAGTCTCACTCAGTGCACAATACTGATTAAACAACAACGTGAAAGCTAAATCTGGTTTGAATTGTTGCATGAAAGTGAGCAGGAAGATATGTTTGATGATGGAGAATAGTTTTCATGCAATTACTTGAAGGGATGACAAAGAGACAAATGTTTTGATGAAAAACTGTGTTCATGAGTTTTATTTTATGAAAGCATATTTATTTAAATCTGTGTTGGTAGTCATTTTTTTATGTTTGATAAAGATGATGAAGTGATTTTTTTAACAAGGGGTTTGAAAACATTGTGTATTTGTGAAACGTGCAGAGCCAGCGTAAAAATAAATAAAGTACAAGTGCACCTTAACCTGTGCAGGAAGGTTCAAATCTACTCCTTCTACATATATTTATTTGATAAAATAAAATGTTTAAAACTATAGAATTAAGCTCGTATTTGTTCATTCCATAACCTGGTATCAACCCTTTTCAGTAAAGACATGGTTGTTTCTAATATATCCACCTGTTTCACTTTCATATACATATCCTTAAGGTGGAGCTGCCTCCTGAGTCCTGAACTTGAAATGCCTACTTGGATTTACGGGAAAGGTATTTTTAGCACAAGGGACTGGTCTATAAACAGAAATGCCTTTCTGTCAGTCTTTGGACAGGATTATCAAAACACCTGTTGGATAGTCATGAACTAAACCCAAAGGTGACACCTGCTGGAGAAATTTGTGTCTTACACTTAACAACTCCTAAACATGGCTCTGTAGTCTATATAAGACAGAGGGATAATGGACATTCATATCTGGCCAGGAATCAGGTTTTCCATATTTCATTAATGTTTTTTTATTTTTACTTTACCTTTGGTTGACTGTAAAAAGATCACTCTGTGTTTGTCGAAACTGTTTGTAGTCAGTCACACGTCAGCGGCATGTATTCACAGTGAGGTCACTCCATTGGCACAGGATTGGCTGAGGAGCTATAGGCCTACTACTTGGAGAACATTGCCAAGACAGAATTACTGAAAACCAGAGCCGCCCATTTTCAGCTTAATTAAAGAAGTCTACTACTTCCTATTGGTTCCTGTCAACAGTAGGTGCTTTGTTTGTAAATGCTGGATTAATCCTGTCTGACAGTAAATAAATACAGCAATGCAGTACTAACCCTTTGGTAATAACCATAGACTGTAAATATTGGTAATGACACAACATTTAAATATTTATTTTCATGTTCTATTTTTGAGGCAGTGTGTTTTTTTGTTTGTTAAAAGAACTCCAGGTTTTTTGCTTTTTAAAAAATATATATATTTTACCTCCTGTAAAGCAGTGACGATGTTCAGGTATCATGAACCAGGAGAAACAAACAAGCCAGCTGTCAGGGTCAGACAGGACTGAAGTCATCATCATTAGAGTCCACTTCCTGAAATGTAATATGTATTTTGTCAAAACAAATGTAGAGCTAGACAGCAACACTGTTTATAGTATTGTCTGGCAGTGGTCACATACATTTCTGCTATAAACTTAATCTAGCAGTTTACAAAAATGAATAGGCTATGTGTAACCTGAAGGCAGGTACAGCAGGATTCTCTGAAAAATTACCCACATTACACGTGAACAGAGAACACTTTTACCACCACAAAATTTAAAGATAAATTCAAATTATAATACTACTACGTACTATCTGTATATCTGCAGATTAATTTAAGATCTTGCTTACTGCCGAGTGTAACGGATGTGGTCAGGGGAGTGAAGAAAACCAGACTTTGACTGTTTTCCAGCTTTTATTTCCTGCAGAAGACAAAAGAACATTCAATGTGCCTTCTGGACATTTGTTTTCTGCACCTCTGCTCCCTCAGCAATGCAAAACGGCACTGTCTGAGCTCAAAACAAATTTATATTACATAGAAATATATTACAATCATCATTTCAATATTTTAACTATATGTAAATATTTATAACCAAGAGCTGATACAAATGGCTGAAAAACTTCGTTTTTACAGTGTATATTAACAATAAATCTCATTAAAAAACATGAGAAACAGTATACCAAATGGTAAAACAGTGACACCTAGTGGACATAATAAACGACAACATGCAGCTGTAAAACAAAACAGAAAGTATGAAAATACAAGGAAAAACATACCTGCAGAAGACAAAAGAACATTCAATGTGCCTTCTGGACATTTGTTTTCTGCACCTCTGCTCCTACTAGTGATGTGTCGGTCATGAACGATTCGTTCAAAACGAACGAATCATCTGGGTGAACGAACTGAACTGAATCACTTACTAAAGAGTCGTTAATTTCTCAACTTCAGTTGCCCTCTCCTCTCTTCCGTCTCGTGTCTCAAAGCTCCCGTTCACAGTACGTTCAGTGAACGAACTGAACGAGAGCTCCGACGTGAATCACTGAGCGAACTGAGAGGAAGAGCGGAGCTCTCGTTCAGTTCGTTCACTGAACGAACTGAACGAGAGCTCCGATGTGAATCACTGAACGAACTGAACGAGAGCTCCGATGTGAATCACTGAACGAACTGAACGAGAGCTCCGACGTGAATCACTGAACGAACTGAACGAGAGCTCCGATGTGAATCACTGAACGAACTGAACGAGAGCGCCGACGTGAATCACTGAACGAACTGAACGAGAGCTCCGACGTGAATCACTGAACGAACTGAACGAGAGCGCCGACGTGAATCACTGAACGAACTGAACGAGAGCTCCGACGTGAATCACTGAACGAACTGAGAGGGAGAGAGAGACTCAGAGCTCCCGTTCAGAATCAGTAAACACAATCACTTTCACCACCCGTTTTTCATATTTTAGGTTTCAGTACGCAAATAAAAGATGTACGCAAATAAATATTAGGTTATTAATTATTTTTAATTAGATAAAATGAAAACAATAAAAAATAAAAGTGAGAAACATAAATTACAGTGCAATTAAAAAAAACTCAAAAGATAAAAAAAACAATAGGCTATCAAAAAGAAAATACAAAAAAGTAAATATAGACTAAAACTACAGTGCAAAAACAAATATTAAATAGACAAGGTAGAAACTATTTACAATGGTCTACATTTTAAAAATGTCACAAACAAAATATTAACTTAAATGTGCAATCACAAACAAAATAAACTGTAGTGCAAAACAAAGCTACATGCATATTTTCTGCATGTAGCCTATATTAAGTTAAATTAATTGTCATTCATGATAATGTTTGCAAACTGAAAGCTTCATAACAACAAGCACATACATTTTCGTGACACCCAGCTTAATTGTTATTAATTAATGATCGTACAAATCATTGACTGACTGGTGAAAGTGATTGTGTGTACTGATTCTGAACGGGAGCTCTGAGTCTCTCTCTCTCCCTCAGTACGTTCAGTGAACGAACTGAACGACAGCTCCGCCTCCTCTCTCTTCCTCTCAGTCAGTCAGTCAGTGATTTGTGTACTGAACGTACTGAACAGAACGGTCGGGGAAAATAAATGTGATTGTTTTAGCAGCTTTCAGTTTGCAAACTGTGGCTTTATCCAACTAAATTCTCAGCTCATTGGTTTATTATTCACCACCGGCTGTTCTCAGTACGATCGCGAGCAGAACTAAACGTGTTTCAGTTTATTAAATTCTGATTCACAGACAGAGCTGCAGAGAAGTACTGAACGATTCGGTGAACGAATCATTTGAACGAATCACTTTACTGAACTGATTCTACTGATTCAGTACACTGAAAAGAACTGCTTTTCACATCACTAGCTCCTACACATGCAAAATAAATATTATTTTAACTGAGAATATCTGCGACACTACGTCAATCACGTGACACAGGCGCTGTAGAATATTACACATTTCGCGCCAAAACCGCTACATTAAAAACAGTCTCCAAAGTGATATAAAACTCTCAAAACCTAAACAAAATGACTGATTAACATCGTATTACTATCAGTTTATAAAATAAACTGAACATTACAACTTAAATCACTTTTTTTCCACAGTAAATAAGGTAATGATGCAGCAACGTTTTTACATACAACTTACCCTCAGCAATGCAAAACAACACTGTGAGGGACAGACGGAAGGAGCTACGGTAACCCAGGAGGTACAGAAGCCGCAAAGTGCCAAAAACGTAATACTCAAAGGAAACATAAATTTGATAAAATATCAGTAAATATACATAACTCGTTAAGATAAAATTCACAAATACTTAACAGAAATAAATTATAAATAAAATCTCAAGTACAAATTGTAAACTGTACTCAAAAATAAAGTGCATTTCAACTCCGTTACACGAGCATAAAAAACACTGTTTAAGTCAAAGTGAACGGTATGATCTCAAAGTCTGAAATTGGAATCTGTCAAAAATAATTACTCAAGACAACGCTAATAAATTGTGCTGACAGTTTTATCACATCAGATTTACCTACATTTCTAATGTTACTCGCCAAAGTTAACCTACACCTGGTCCAACTGGTTTGCTCCCAGCAGATCAACATATCCCAGACCAGCATATACATTAAAAATAACATTTTCTTTGTTCATTACGGTCTGCTTCCTTTAATTATAATCACACCATTGTTTTTCCATTCCAAAAGCTCCTATCTAAGCTTTAAGTTAAGTGACTCATTGATATTTTAAAACACTTTCTTGCGTACCTCTTCAGACGACTTTAGGCCAAGTTTGACCAACATCAATGGTTGAGCTGAATTCCTGTGTGCTAGCAATAGCCTTAACCTTTAAACAGGTTCAGCACAAGAAAACTCTTCATAATTTAAGGTGAAACGTTGAAACCTAACCACAAACTTGGTAGGCATAATAACATACTTACTACTTTCACCAGGCTCCGATTGACTTCAAATCACTATTAATGGGGTCAGCCCCTATGGTCCCACAGCCCAATGTTCCTACATTTCTAAGAATTTGTTTTTCACTGAAAATTAGGCCCTATGTTCCCACATTTCTACGATTTTTCTCAAAATGAGGCCCTATGTTCCCACATTTCTACGATTTTTCTCAAAATTAGGCCCTATGTTCCCACAGCCCTATGTTCCCAAATTTCTAGGACATTTCCAAAATTAGGTCTTGTGTTCCTACATTTCCTTTCAATTTAAGCCAGCGCAGTAGACTTGATGACACTGACAGGTTGACACAGAGGAGTTTTCAAAGAGACATCCTCCTTCCTTAACGTTTCCTCCATGAGCCTATGACGCCTCCAGAGGGCTGGAAAGTGACTCCAAGCATCCCAGGAGCACCCCCCTCTCTATGCCAATCCGACTTTCCAGAGGTATTGATGCACTGCAAACTATGGTTTGCGCTTCTTTCGACTGATCTGACCGGAAGCTGTCAATGCGAGGCCTCTGTGCTACTTAGTTTAGTTTTTTTATTTAAAAGGACAATGTGCACTTACATTAAATGTTTGCAATAAACAAAGAGATGGGTGCACCAGATTTATCTAAATGCTACATTCCATCTGTAGTCCATTGCTACTGGATAATAGGTTGGGTGTAATTGGCTACCAAATTGGGAAAAAGGTGGATAAAATCTGATACAAAGTTATGAAAAAGGAAATGTGGGAACATAGGGCCTAATTTTGAAAAGAATCTTAGAAATGTGGGAACATGGGGCTGTGGGAACATAGAAATACTAGTTTGATGTTTAACCACATGCACTTTAAGGACAAGGAGAAACCATCGGAGACGGACAACCGGCAGTCTCACATCCCATCATTTGCTAACCATTTTAGCACACGCCATTGTGATAATACCAGAGCAGAGATTAGCCTGCTAATAACGAAACAACAGTGACTGGAGATAGGCTCCCATTATGTTTGGTGGAAGGCAAGGCTCCCCTGAGCTGATGGGGTTTGTAAAGCCGGAGTACAAACCACCATCATGGCAAAACAACAGCTAAGAGAGTGTCTGAAGAAAACAGCAGAATTCAGGGCTTACTTGCCACGTGTCGGTGACTGGTGTACAGTTTTCACCACACAGTCATATGTTACCATCACTTGTCTTTACATTCAGAAATGGGATTTAAAGACAAGAGTTCCTACAGACATGCAATACTGATAAGGACACCACAAAAAACATAGTGGACCACGACAAAATCAGCAATAGAGGAGTGGGGCGTGTTGGAGATGGGTCTGAGAGGTCCAGGCCCAATGATTTTATATATATATATAATTTGCGAGTAATCACTCATGCATAAGGTAACGTGAGATCACATGTATCAAAAATGACCAAAAATCCCCATTTGTACTATGGTACAGTAAAGTACAGTAAATGGTACCGTATTTTGTTCACCAAAGTTACTTAAAGGGAAAGGAAAACTAGCCAAGCTAGCGAACTTGCTAACTCTGCTCATAACATTGTTAGCTTGGTGTTCTAAAGAAATCATAAGTAAAGCACTGAAATGATAAAGATAACTTTTATATTCCATTAAATGAGGTATCAAAAAAAGTGAATGGTGTTACTCATGTAGCTTTTTTGACTCTCTAAGTCTGTCCCCTAAAATGGTGGATAGTGTAACGACAGCTTCATGTTGGTCAACAGTACAACTGTGAGCAGCATGGACTTACTGAGTTTATCAACAAGGTTTCTACATAGGAAGAGAGTTTTCACTGGATGCCACCTGGACGAAGGGATGATAATGTTGCTGTGTTTATTGTTTAAAGTTTTTTGTTCTAGACTCTCAAGGTTCTTCAGATAAAACGGCAGTGGACTATTTGTCTGTGTTTTTGACCCTGAAGTTAATCAGACCTCATCAACACTTGGGGGGAAAAAGAGTCATAGGAAAATCACAAGAGGGCTCAGAGCTAAAACATTGCATCACAAGGGTGAGAATGCCTTGTTTAAAAGTTTAAATTGTATACGTGTACATTTTATGACGTTTCAAAGCAGGTGATGTTTTCTTTCTGAAGTTTGAAGTGGAAGTTAAATATTCTTGTTACTAGTCAGGAGTCAGCGATTAGCTCCAGGATTTTGCGTGGATTGATAACTGACTTTATGTCCTACTAACTACATTGTCATGCTTCATTTGAAACTTCACTGATAAAAATGAACAAAGGCCAAACTGTGTCCTGTCTGGATTAAGAAAAAACAAATGAGACAGTGAATCACAGAAAAATAGTTTATTTTTGACTTGGAGAGATTGATGTTTAACCTGCTGTTAAAAAATGACAGGGACTCATGTCAATGTAATCAAAAGCAGATTACAATAGTTTCTGCTTCTCTCACAAACAGCCGTCAAGTTGACTTGCTCCCTGATTAATACTTGATCGCTTTCACAAATGTGTCACAGATAATGTAATGCTATTAAAAAGACTTGTAACTGGAGGTTTGTGTCTCTTTTTAAATCTCAGTCAACACAATCTTGTCTAAGGTCCAGCTGTTTTATATCAAATAATATGAAGACCTAGCTAACAGTTTTGTGAGCTAGATATTCTCCAATTCACCTTTGGTTCACCTTCAACAATGGTGAATTGGAAAGTCAATTATAAGCCTTTTTGTCCAAATTCTGTATCTGATTAGAACTTTTTCAAGTCCAATTTCTGTGGCTGGTTCAGAGTTCTACTCACACCACACAGAGATTCAGAACAAAGCTGTACAGTTTTCTCCGACCACTTTTTCTGTCCGGCAGGATTTTCAGGGTTACAAGAAACACCATGTCAGATAAAGGTGTTGGCAGGGCTTGGAGCTTGGCTATCTCTGAATTATTCTCTTTCTCTTTCTCTCTTCCTATTTTAGGAGGCTGGCCGAAGAAATAGGTAAATAATTTCTGATCTGACTTTGGTACAAAGTGCACACACACACCTCACAGACACAGTCATGCTCTAAAGATAGCCTGTTGTTGACAAGTTGTTCAACGAGTTCAGCCCTGGTGTAGTCCTAACTCACTTTGGACTTACATATTTATTTTTTTCGGGACACTACAGCATTGACGAAGGAATATTAGAGAAGGGGGATGGCTGTGGATAAACATGTTTTTGGTGGTCCTGATTACTCTGGGGACCTTTAACAGAGGAGGTGAGTAAGAGTTCAGTCTGTCTGATTTTTTTTCCATTCTAAACTTAGATCACAGTGGACACGACAGTTTCAGAAAAATAAAAAGAAACACAATGTGTCAAGACATATGATTAAATCTAGAGGATCAGGCAACATAAAATCACAAAACAACACATTTTCTAATTTTTCCGAATTACACTCAGATATTTTTAGTCTTATGTGCCGAAGTTTACAGATACTATCTGACTAAACATTGGCTGGCAACTTATTGTAATAGACTTTTATTCAGTTTGTTTCCTCAAATGTTTTGAAAACCAAATTAATTGAAAAATAAAGTTTAGTTCAAATGTAAAGTTTATATTTATCTGGACTGTAGTGTGTAAAAAAATCACAGCTAAGGCATAAACAAATAAATCTGTATGCGATGCAACAGTTCACATTTTGAACTTTAGAAGTGACAAAGTCCACAGTATGTTAGTTAATAAGAAATAGAAACACCTCTTGTCTCGTGACTTTTTATTTTTGTTTTTATTTACTTATTTATTGTTCTTTCTGTCTCTGAACCTTAGGGGGAGTGAGTGTTTTTTTTTCATTGTTTATGTTCTGTACTATAGATGTGTGTAAGCTGTGTGTGTCTGTTCAAAAATGTGAAAACCAGAAAATAAAGTATAAAAAAATCCAAAAGAAAGAGAAACACGACTCTAACTAAAAATCTAAATACACAGCTGGCAAACACTGTAATGATAATTATTTCAAGTATGTGAGGCTGGTTTCTTTAAGAACTGGCTTGATGACTTTCCCAGGCAGAGCACTCATGGTGATGCTGTTTGACCAGGAAGTCAACACTGATTTTCCGTCATATTGTCTCACATGTTCTGCATCTCTATTCTTCAAATAGTGACTGTTTTTGTCTTATATTTTCAAAATTTCAAACCAGGTTTATCCCATAATTAACCCTTGATATATGTTTCTTTTTCTGATGTTTTACAGATACTGAAGTGTGTATTTTAAAGGAGAGTTGCATCTTACCCTGCAGTTTTAAACAAGGTGATAAAGTAAAGGTCCACTGGAACCAGATAAAGGGAAACACTCCTGTCCACTCCTACTTTTATAATAAGGACCAGTTGGGACATCAGGACGAGAGCTTCAAAGGCAGGACATCGCTGTTTCAAGACCAGATCTCCAAAGGAAACGCCTCACTCAGGCTGACAGGGGTGAAGCTTGAAGACCAGGGCAGATACAAGTGCTACACCAGCACCACCAACAGCAACAATGACTCATTTGTTGACCTAAACTTGGAAGGTATGACATCCATGGTTAATGCAGAAACATCAAACAACAGCAAGAATTGCCTTGTATACAGATCAACCACAACATTATGACCACATGTGCAATCTAGTGCAATCAAAATCAGGTCTACCATAAGTTCTTCTTTAAAAAGCTTCTACATTGGTTGACATGGTCAGACCGGTGAACATTTTACTTTCTATTTATAATTGAGGTCATACTAGGTGGTGTAATGGAGTGCATTATATTTAAATATGTTCCTAAAATTTGGTCCCCACTTGAATGTTAATTGGGTGGTGAAAATATTTGAAAATATTTAATTTAACTCAGCACCACTACCTGCTATGACTTCAGTATTATAAACAAAGTACAATTATCACCTTTCTGACCATGTCAGCAAAAACTGAAAATGTAGAAGCTTCTTAAAAGTAGAAATTATGGTTGAACTGTTTTATTGGATTGCAATAGATCATTATCTTTTGACTGATTGGTGTATATTTACATTGCAATAACTACTGTAGTCAACCTAAATGATCATTTAAACTTCATTCTGGCTGTACATGTCTTGCACACACACCTTTGCCTTCATTTAGTAGGACTGGATGTTTAAATTTAATGATGCACCAGAATGGTTTCAAATTTGATGTTTTCTAACAATTAGATTTTTTCTCTCTGTAACAATAGATCATAACTTTAATATTTAGCATAAACCTTAGCTTTACATTCAAAAAGCTGATATGTTGCTAGATATAGTAAACATTGGTACTTATGGCTAGCTCTGAAAAGGAAAACTTCCAAGTTTAAGATAACCATCACCTGGCCTGTTACACAGTGAAGTTGAGTAGACTAGTTTGTTAATCTGTTTTGACATTTTTCTACGAACCTGTTTGTTTTTTTGGAGCGGCAACATAAGTAACAAAGAGACTAACAGGACCGCTATAAAGAAAGTATTTTACATCATAAATGTATTGAGTTCTATCACAGAGTAAATGCTAAATACACAACATGGATTTAGTGAAACCTTATTTTCTCCATGCCACAATCTGTAGAGCTCTGTAAGATAAAACAAACAAAAATAGTGAATAACCTTCTACTCCCAGCTACAGGAAACTGATACCATTTTAATGGAAGGCTGTGTTGAAGATCATCTGGGTGATAAGGACGCTTGTCCAGTAAATGTGGTCTCTGAGCTTGTGGGAAATTAACAGTGATAGTTAGAAAAGAACTGAAAATAATCAACAGCTTTCAGTGAGGAAATAGTTTTTTTAATATCTGTGTTTCCTCACTTGTTGAATACTGTAAAACTACAATTCAAACTAAAAAAAAAGAATTGACAAAATTGACTGTGCATGGAAGAACAAGCATTTGCACAAATAAAGCTTAAATCTTTTGTTATTTATATTTGTATAATGGAATGTAATATTATGGAAATGCTGCCGGATGGAAGGCAGTAAAAAGTATGATTAGCACATGATTGTTTTATTTGGCACGATGGGAGAACAAAGTCCTGTTGTAAATGTTGCTACTTTCATTCAGTTATAAATGAATGTTCTCTTTCCCTTGACATTATATTAACTCTTAACTTACATTAACTTAGTTTTTTGGTAAAGACAGAACAAGAAAATTGACAGATTGCTTTTGTCTAAGACATAAAAATTCAAACTTTCAATAGTTTTCAAAAATGGAATAAAAAATGAGTAGCAAAAGAACAGAATCTTAATCAATTCAATGTAAGTCTAAAAAGCTCCCAAAGAGACCTGAATGAGTCATCACCAGGTCTCCCACATCACAATTTTAAATACATGTTCCAAAATGTTTATTTTTTTCACAGCTCCACCCAGTAAAGTTGGAATTCAGCAGGTAGGAAACAGAATCACCTGCAGCTCAGAGGAGATCTACCCTCAGCCTGAGCTCACCTGGTCCTCCAGTCCTCCAACCAATCTGAATAATGAAGCAATAGTCCAGGAGACTGAGCAGTTCGGTCTCCTGTACAGCATCAGTAGCTCTCTGATAGTTCAAGTCGGTGTGATTGATCTGGACTACAGCTGCACCATCAGCGCTGGCAGAAACAAGAGGAGAGCAACTTTGTTTAAACCAGGTACGTGTTTCAAAGAAAACTTCTGGTCACTGCATGGGGTCCTTCAGGCTGCCTTAAACAGCTCATATGAAGAGTTCACATTGACATCAACAAAATCCTTACAAATAAACTTTGTCATTGTGTGTAATTCTTGTGTTTTGTCTTTCAGCTTCCATCAATATTTCAGACACTAAAAGCACAATCCCCTGCATTTCTTCAAACACTCACTTTAAAAGCCTCATTTGGACATTCAACCACAATCAAAACATCCTGATCCAGACCTCCGCCGAAGTCCCCTTTAAAGTTTCAGAGGAGTGGAGGAAGCACGTGAAGGATGTGTCTGAGTCAGGAAGCCTCGTGTTACAAGACTTAACATCACTTCAGGAGGGAATATACACATGTGAACTTAGTACTGCTGAAGAGACTCATGTATTGGAGCACAGCGTTGAGGATAGAAGAAAGTCAAAGTAAGTAGCACCTCTACAAAAGAACAGTTCATCTGAATATCTGGTTACTTGGTTATATTACAGCTCCTGCAGTCCACACATTCAAGTGTCCTTAAAGAAGACACTGAATCTCAAAATGCCCCTGATGGCATAGCTTTGAGCGAGAGAAAGATGAATGAACTGAATCTCTTTTCTTTTTCAGGCACTCCTACTGTTGCAGGAATTACAGTTGGGGTTATATTCCTTTTGGTTGTATTAGCCATTTGCATCTTCGTCATATATAAGTGGTTTAAAAAGGTAAATAACACTACTACAACTAGAACTCAGAAAAGTGAAGGTGGTGAACAACAGAGAACCAGAAGCTGAAATCCCATTAAAGTAAGTTAACTTTATGGCTTAAAAAACAAGATAAGTCAATGAAGTGAGGATATAAGCAAGAACAAATCCCTGAAAATAAATGTTGTCATGCTTTCTTTGATAGTTAATGTTTTCTACAGAAGTCATTTATGATGAAAAAGAATACATGCTGGTTGTTTGAGCTCGATGTTCTTCAGAACTTGATTCTGTTCAATTTTGTTTGCAGGTAAAATGGTGAACGAAAAACTAATACATTTCTAGACCGTGGAACAACAACAGTCAGCCATGATGAAGAACAAGACCACAGTTGATGAATGTACGCAAATATTTATTAGAGTAAGTGGTATCAAATGAACAGTTGCTAAAAGGATCCCGAACGAAGGATTTAACATCGGGATGTATGAATGTGCTGGGATTAGATGAACAAAAAGTTCCCACATGAGTAGGTACATGTCTAACAGCAAATATGTCAAGTGTTGCTGTTGATCTGAGGACAGACACTTGGTTTTAAAGATCTCTGCTGGATTAAAGTTGGTTGCAAGATGCAACTGGTTTCTTGGTTTCATTTCTACATTTCCCTGATGCCCAGCCACCACCATCGGACTGTGTTGTCCCTCAACCACCGCCGTCCTCATTCATGCACGGCCTGCTCCGACCTCCACCTCAGCAGCAAGGAAGTGTGGACAACAGGAACGTGAGGAATACAAAGAAGAAATCCTTCCTGCATCTTATCCCATAAACTCTTTTGTGAAAAATAGCATTGCTAGAGCTTTTCAGTCTCACTCAGTGCACAATACTGATTAAACAACAACGTGAAAGCTAAATCTGGTTTGAATTGTTGCATGAAAGTGAGCAGGAAGATATGTTTGATGATGGAGAATAGTTTTCATGCAATTACTTGAAGGGATGACAAAGAGACAAATGTTTTTATGAAAAACTGTGTTCATGAGTTTTATTTTGTGAAAGCATATTTATTTAAATCTGTGTTGGTAGTCATTTTTTTATGTTTGATAAAGATGATGAAGTGATTTTTTTAACAAGGGGTTTGAAAACATTGTGTATTTGTGAAACGTGCAGAGCCAGCGTAAAAATAAATAAAGTAGAAGTGCACCTTAACCTGTGCAGGAAGGTTCAAATCTACTCCTTCTACATATATTGATTTGATAAAATAAAATGTTTAAAACTATAGAATTAAGCTCGTAGTTGTTCTTTCCATAACCTGGTATCAACCCTTTTCAGTAAAGACATGGTTGTTTCTAATATATCCACCTGTTTCACTTTCATATACATATCCTTAAGGTGGAGCTGCCTCCTGAGTCCTGAACTTGAAATTCCTACTTGGATTTACGGGAAAGGTATTTTTAGCACAAGGGACTGGTCTATAAACAGAAATGCCTTTCTGTCAGTCTTTGGACGGGATTATCAAAACACCTGTTGGATAGTCATGAACTGAACCCAAAGGTGACACCTGCTGGAGAAATTTGTGTCTTACACTTCACAACTCCTAAACATGGCTCTGTAGTCTATATAAGACAGAGGGATAATGGACATTCATATCTGGCCAGGAATCAGGTTTTCCGTATTTCATTAATGTTTTTTTATTTTTACTTTAGCTTTGGTTGACTGTAAAAAGATCACTCTGTGTTTGTCGAAACTGTTTGTAGTCAGTCACACGTCAGCGGCATGTATTCACAGTGAGGTCACTCCATTGGCACAGGATTATAGGCCTACTACTTGGAGAACATCGCCAAGACAGAATTACTGAAAACCAGAGCCGCCCATTTTCAGCTTAATTAAAAGAAGTCTACTACTTCCTATTGGTTTCCTGTCAACAGTAGGTGCTTTGTTTGTAAATGCTGGATTAATCCTGTCCGACAGTAAAAAATACAGCTATGCAGTACTAACCCTTTGGTAATAACCATAGACTGTAAATATTGGTAATAACACAACATTTAAATATTTATTTTCATGTTCTATTTTTGAGGCAGTGTGCTTTTCTTTCCTTTTAAAAAAATTAAAAATATAGTTTTACCTCCTGTAAACAGTGACGATGTTCAGGTTCATGAACCAGGAGAAACAAACAAGCCACTGTCAGGGCCAGATAGGGCTGAAGTCATCATCATTAAGTCCACTTCCTGAAATGTAATATGTATTTTGTCAAAACAAATGTAGAGCTAGACAGCAACACTGTTTATAGTATTGTCTGCAGTGGTCACATACATTTCTGCTATAAACTTAATCTAGCAGTTTACAAAAATGAATAGGCTATGTGTAACCTGAAGGCAGTACAGCAGGATTCTCTGAAAAATTACCCACATTACACGTAACAGAGAAACACTTTTACCACCACAAAATTTAAAGATAAATTCAAATTATAATACTACTACGTACTAATCTGTATATCTGCAGATTAATTTAAGATCTTGCTTACTGCCTGAGCATAAAAAAACACTGTTTCAGTCAAAGTGAACGGTAATGATCTCAAAGTCTGAAATTGGAATCTGTCAAAAATAATTACTCAAGACAACGCTAATAAATTGTGCTGACAGTTTTATCACATCAGATTTACCTACATTTCAATGTTACACCGCCAAAGTTAACCTACACCTGGTCCAACTGGTTTGCTCCCAGCAGATAAACACATCCCAGACCAGCATATACATTAAAAATAACATTTTCTTTGTTCATTACGCTCTGCTTCCTTTAATTATAATCACACATTGTTTTTCCATTCCAAAAGCTCCTATCTAGCTTTAAGTTAAGTGACTCATTGATATTTTAAAACACTTTCTTGCGTACCTCTTCAGACGACTTTAGGCCAAGTTTGACCAAACATCAATGGTTGAGCTGAATTCCTGTGTGCTA